GGGCTGTAAAGCACTGTAAAGCGGTATATAAGTCTAAGTGCTGTTGCTATTGCTACATATTCATATTCATATTAGTTTGGTAACTGAATCGTTTCTATAAGATGTTGAGATTCAGCATTCTCTGTGATAACTCTATGATTCATATCACAATAAAGTATATAGTTGCCTACTTCCATAATTGGTTGCTTCTATCATCTTCAATGCAGCCCAGGCATCTGACCTGGAGAAGGTGCATCTGGATGAAAAGACATTCCGTTGGCTTCATAATGAAGACCAAATGGCTGTGGAGAAACTGTCAGATGGAATCAGAAAGTTTGCTGCTGATGCAGTTAAACTGGAAGTCATGATAAAGGTAAATTAAGAGTTTCTTGTCTTACTAAATATTATTTCCTAAGTTCCTTCACAAGCACATTTCACAAGCATTGCAAATCTAAATGTTAACTGTTTATTTGTATTTTATATTGCATGATACTAATGTTCAAGTATAAAACCAACTGAATGTAAATGGTAAAGAGATTTAAATTATAAGTACATTATTTTGTTATTAGGTTATTGATCCCATCATCCATTTATTATTATGGATTTCATTTATTTCCCATATAGAATTAAATGCAGTTTAAAAATCACTGTAAATTATTGGATGGCAGATCCTAGGTTATACTACTGTGCTTTTCTTTTATAAATCTAAAATATTTTTGACAAGTTAAGCTTCCTAAATTTAAGTATCTTAACAATGCCGAAGTTTATAAATTAGATATTTTTCCAAACATTTATATTAAGGTTGCACCAGTAGATGTTCACATGCAACATTCAAAGCTGGCATGTGGATTTTCAACATTGAATGGCTTTTTTTTTAATCTTAAAGGCTCCTCTCTTGACTCAAAACAAAATAATCAAAATGAAATTGGTTTCTCCTTTCCCTGTATTAATAACTCTGCTATTTATAACCTTTTAAACAGACTGCAGGTATAAAAAATAATACATGGTTTTCAGTGCTACTGCATGTTCTGTGTGGCCTTAAATAGGTGAAATCCTATTTGCCAATCTCTTCTTGTATATTAAATGGCAATGATTTCTTAAAATGTCTGCAGCTAATGTGCCTATTAATTTTTATATTTTTTCTCCTTTTTTAGGAACGGATGTTTGGTACTGCAAATGGAGAATAGACATGGCAAATTTTATGGATGCTATATAGATGTAAAGATTTACATGCTGCATACGAAAAGATTTTCTGTAATCACAGATTTCTATATGAATCTGCAGAGAAAAAGATTCTTCAAGTCTGCTGTGCTTTTATATATCAGGATTGTAATATTACAATTCTGAGTTACCAATATTTTTATTCTTCACTATATTGCAGGTGCATAAAGGACCAATTGCCTTGTTTTTTTTCTTCAAGGTACTATTACTAATAATGATAAAACATTGATGTCTGAGTGCATTCCAAAAGAATAAAATGTACTACATTTTATAGAGCTTTGTTGACTCCTATTGAGGCAAGTCCTCTGTTTGAAGGATGTATACATGCTATTTCTACAAACAAAATAAGATTTGAACAAGTATGGTTTATAAACATTCCATTCTTAGAATTATGAGAAGCTTCCCTACTGTTCTTGTAGAATGGATGTTTCACATGGTTATTGTTGTGCAGGAAAAAGGAGGAAGATTATGTACAAGCTTGAATTGTACAAACAAAAGATGGGCTATAAATCTAAATTATAATGCTGTCTCATTCCCCAGCTGTTGTTGCCACTGTGCTAATCCCTCTCCTCAAGATAGAGCAACTAGGATTTTAATACTTAGTGCTATTTTGGCCTCAGTCATACTGTCTGCTGTTTGCCCCCGTGTAAACGTTAAACCAATACTGTCTTTTCTCAGAATCTGAGGCATGGTTACAGCTGTATTGAACACCTTCAGTACCTCGCCCCATTTTGCCTAGATAATAGAATGAG